TAATGCTTGTTACTTGTTCAATTTCACAAAACAATTACGGATTTTGTAAAAAAGATAACTTGAATGACCTAACCCTAATTCAAATGGCCAATAAGAATCATAATTAGAATCTAATCCTAAGAGCTTGTAAAAAAGATAACTTGAAAGGTACGGTAAATACACCGGGATCCTTACACTTCGGGGGCATCCTCTTTTTGCAAAACCGTGGATACATGCTCCCCAACTGTTACCACTTGATTTCCTTTTAATTTCTTTTTAGATACACAAAGATCCTTAAGGAACCTTGCATATCTAGGTACCTGCTTGATGGCCTCGAGGAGTGGAATGTTGATTTGAACTCTCTTGAACATTTGCATGATCTCACTCTCCTCCCGTTCTTTCTTCGTGCTCCTTAATCTTTCGGGAAATGGAGTAGGTGTGGCTTTAGACTCAGTGATGAAGGGCTTCTTTTTGACTGTTTTCTCTTCCTTCTTCTCTTCTTTGGTTGCTTCTTCGACCACTATTTCTTCTTCCTTTTGATCAACCGGCACTTTTGGACCATCATAGCTCTTTCCGCCTCTCAATGTGATGGCACACACATTGTGCCTTGGGTTTGTTTCAGTTTGTGCAGGTAACTTTCCTTGAGATTCTAATTTGCTTATAGAAGTGGCAAGTTGTGAAACTTGTTTCTCTAAGTTCGTTATGCTTGCTTTTGTCTCTTGTTGGAAAGCTTGTGTACTAGTTTCCAAACTCTTTACTATGTCCTCTAAGGACATACTTGATGAACCCGATTGTTGAGGAGGGTGTTGTGGCTGCCTTGGCTGGAAGTTTTGTGGTGGAAAAGGTGGTCTTTGCTGGTATTGATGTGGTTGACTTGGTTGATAATTTGTCTGTTGATGTCCTCCCCAACCTTGATTGTTACTCCATCTTTGATCACCCCGTGGCTGCTCATATCCCCTTTGATTAGACCCAAGAAAACCTCCCATGACTTTTGCTTCTTCATAATCTTCCTCTTGAAGTTGTGGGCACATATCGGTTGGATGCCCCACTTGGGTGCAAATACCGCACGGGCGGGGTATAGGCTACACACCTTTGTCTTTAGCCAACATCATGACTACTTTCGTGAGCTCGGACAATTGAGCTTCAATCTAAGGAGTTTGTACTTCTTTTACACCCCGGGGTGCATCCGTGTACCATTCTTCATCATGGCTTGAATGTTTGGAATCTTCAGCCATGTTCTTGATTAGATTTCGGATCTCAGTTGGGGTTTTATCGGGCAAAGATCCACCACTAGAGGCGTTAAGAAGCCTTCTTTCCATTGGAGTCATTCCTTCAATGAAATATTGGAGGAGCTGGTACTCAGTGATCCCATGCTTTGGACAACGAGCACAAAGTTTCTTGAATCTTTCCCAATATGTGTGGAAAGCTTCTCTTTTGTGTTGCTTGATTCCGATAATTTCCCGTCGTAGGGCTGAAGCTTTCATTTCGGGAAAATATTTGTCCAAAAACAATCTCGCAAGATCTACCCAAGTAGTTACCGTCCCCGGTGGAAGGTCATAAAGCCAATCTTTGGCCGCGTCTTGCACCGCAAAGGGGAATGCCCTAAGCTTGATTTGGTCCTCCGTGACATTATGTGGTTTCATACCCACACATACTACATGGAACTCAGTGAGGAACTTGTGAGGATCTTCGTTCTCCAATCCTCTAAAAGTTGGGAGTAAGTGGATAAGCCCGGATTTTAGTTCCAAGTTGGTGGCGGCTGGGTATGTGATGCAAAGAGGTTGTTGAGTCACCTCTTGTCTTGACCATTGACGAAGAGTTTGTTCGGGTGGTGGGTTTGGAGGACCTTGATTCCCTCCGAGGTTATGTGCCATGGCTTGAGAATTGGTTGTGGTTTTTGAAGGTGAACTGTTTAGGATATTATTAATAGGTGAAGAGGGTGGAGTGGTTTTTATGGGTGAGGTTGTTTGTGGTGAGAGTGATGGGCTTTCTGTTTCTGATGCGGATACACTTGAGAGGGGTATGTCCTCCCAAATGTTGATGACCGGGGATTGGTTGATGAAGAAGCACCGGAAACTGGTTGCCTCTTACAAAGCTTGGCTTGCTTCCTTAACTTATTTGCAGTCTTCTCTATCTCCGAATCAATTGGCAATGGCGTGCCTGTACGAAAAGATCTAGGCATAAACAATTAGTAACACCGTGTCCCCGGCAACGGCGCCAATTTGTTAGGCGTGTCAAACCTAAAAATAAAGGGGTACGATATACTCCAAAATAATCCCACTATATTGCACTAAAAGGTAGTACAAGGCAAGCAGGGTCGATCCACAGAGACACAGGACAATTGGTCTATACCTATTTGCACAAGGTACTATGGTCACCAATAGTAAAGAGAGGGGGGGTTTAGAATGTAATGATTAAACAAATAATTAAAAACATAAGCAATCAATTAAATGCGTGAATTAAATTCAGAATTTGTGAGGACTCCAACCCCATGTATGACAATTTAGCAATGTGACTCCAAGATGACACAATATTCGTTCAATTCTATTAAGTTGGTACTTGAAAGTGCTAATAAGCTCTAACACTTCCCATTCACCATATTAATTAACCAAAACAAGCTCTTTGATTAACCCTAACCTTATTAACCTAATCTAAACAAGCTCTTAGGATTAGATTATAAGATTGCATGAAGCTTTATGTGAATGTTCCCAACAACACCCAATACCCCTCATAAGCTCGGGAGTGTAAAAGTGTATGAATAAGATTTACACTAAATTCATTCAATAGAGATTAATTTAATGCTTGTTACTTGTTCAATTTCACAAAACAATTACGGATTTTGTAAAAGAGATAACTTGAATGACCTAACCCTAATTCAAATGGCCAATAAGAATCATAATTAGAATCAAACATTCGATTGAAGCAAAATCAAATTCATTAATAGAAATTAAGAACAAATATCATGTCATATGAATGAAGTCACTACCAAGAAGTCAAAACATGAAATTGGAGAAATTAGGGTTCTAGCCACACATGGCTAGAACAAGATCACAAGTCTAAAAGATGAAATTAAGTGTAATTACAACTTACAAAAACAAGAATTAATGTTTCCAAATGATTAATGGACAAACCCTTGCAAAAAGCTTCGAATTCCCTCTCCAATGGTGCTCTGGTATGTTCTTTTCTTCCAAATGACCCTCAACCCGTAATATGAAAGATAGGAAAAACTGCCAAAAGTTGGTTTTTGGGTCGAACACGGCCCGTGTTAAAATAGGCTAAACTGACACGGGTCGTGTTCAGCAACACGCCCCGTGTTTATTTGCACTAAACTGACACGGGTCGTGTTCAGCATGGTCAACAGCTCCCATTTTGGTCAAACACGCCCGTGCCACTTTTCAGTGTAAATTCAACACGCCCCGTGTACCTCTCTGACTCCAATCCAAACTTGATTTTTCCAACTTTTTCGTTCTTCGCCGATCGTCCCGAAATCTCCACCAATGCTTCCCGACACTTCCCAAAGCGCGTTCCAACCTCCGGTTTACCTGAAAAAGATATAAAAGTGTGCAAATAAGGTTGTTCTAGAGACTAAAATGAATATGATAAAATGCAAGGAAAAGGAAGAACAATTGTGCTAAATATATGCATAAAATGGGACTGAAAGGTGTGCAAAAAGGTGCACAAGTAGCACGTAACAAATCTCCCCAAGCTTAGACCTTTCTTGTCCACAAGAAAGAACAAGAACCGGACTACAGGACGATTTCTAGATGGCAAAAAGAAAAACTTAGAACGAAAAGGGGATGAAGGATCCTAAAGGTTAAGAATGAATGCATGCAATGTAATGCCATGAAAATATGTACAAAATGCACTTGAGAAACAAAATGAAGGAAAAGAAAAGAAGATTAAGAACAAACACAAAATATGTACTTTTGTAACTAAATAAAGGTACGATCAGACTTTACATCAGTAGGGCTTCGATCATTGATACCTTGGCAACCATCCTGTTTCCTTCCACATATCACAGACTCTGAATGTGAGGAAGACCCGAAACGGTGTAACCCAATAATCCAACCAAAGTTTTTTTAATCTTTATACCTTACTAAGCTTTATGGGCGAAAATAACATAGTCCGGATTTCATGTCCTTAAGACTAGATGGCCAAGAATCAGAATCGACGCCTCCTTAAGAACCCGTCACGGCGAATCAGCTTTCGCTGAAACAGTGAGCCCACCCGAAGGGGCTCAGCTCCTATGCTTTCACTTTTTCGAGAGCCACAAGTATCATATCACACAGTTCTTCATTCGCCATATTTGACTTGAGTTGGCTTTTGATTTGATTGAACTTTGATTTGTACTTCGTTTTGAATTTGGATTCTTCAATCTTCATCTTTGGAATTTCTTTAGATTTCTTCGTTTTGGCATTTGAAATTCTGATTAGGGTACTGGATATGACAGTTGTACCCTTCCTTCATTCTTAACTGTGTGGGTCTGATACATAAGCTCTCTGTTACCGCGGGGGTAACGCGTGTCAACAAATAGGTCCGTTGTTCTGTGGGTTCAGAGTTGCCGATAAAGATTCTTTTTAAACATTCGAAAGCAAATCATCCTAAAGCTGTTATTACCGCCCAAAAAACGTTTCAATATAAATTTTTTTATTATCTGAGGGTAGGGTCTCGAATTATGGTATTTGGGTCCCCTAGTTATGACAGCTGATTCTATGCTTCCGGTAACAATCCGGTTGCTTCGGTATTTTTCATTTCATGGAGCAATTGTATGTAAAGAGTGTCATCATCTCGTACACTTTTTTTTTTGAGAAAAGTTTGAAAATAAGAAAATGCATGCATGAGAATGAGTGAACCTTTTTAAAGAAAAAAAAATTGAAAATAAGGAAAAATAAGAGTTTTAAGGAAAACTTTGAAAATAAGAAAATGCATGCATGAGAATGAGTGAACCTAAAATACAAGTCTACCCCTCCCCAAGCTTAAAGATAAGCATCGTCCCCGATGCTTGGAGAGGGTGGAACAACCTAAAACGGAGGTGGAGGAGGAGGATAGTAGCTGGGGTTTCGGGTCCAAGCCCAGAAGTCCTCCTCATGTTTGCGTTGACGCTCTTGATCCCGAGCGTACTGGGTGGTGAAGGTGGAAAAATTCTGGGTCAGGCTGGTAATATCCTGCTGATAGGTGTCGAGGCGGGTATGGATTGATTGGAATTCGTCCATATATTGTTGATGATAAGGCGGGGGTGCAGCAAAATGGGATGAGCTGCCACCACCGGTGGGAGAAGCATGGTGAGGCTCCTCCTCTTCTTCATCATCATCACCATCGTCCTCGTTTTCGTCGCTTTGCTCATCGACCTCGGTGGAATAAGAGTGGGGGAAGATGTATGGAATGATTTGCCAATCAGTCATATGAATGGGATTTCGGAAATCAAGAATTCCTTTATTTTCTGGTGTGATGAGGAGCTTGGGATCATGATTTTGACCCACGGTCCAATGGTGTGTACCATCGCCTGCCGAGCGGAAGAGTCGCATGGACTCAAGGACAGTGGTGGTGAGATAAGGCTCGCCCGGTATTGGCTGGTGGGGACCGGGGTATGGGGCTCGGATGTGGGCGCTCTTGGCGAGCATGCTGACAATACCCCCGCAAACAATCTTTCCCGATCGGGATGCGCTAAGGCGGATGAGCTTGTGGCACAGAAACCGACCATAATGAGGAATGAGGTTATTCTCGGGATGGGTCATTGCATAAAGGATTTTAAGTTCCAGCGCGGTAATGGTGCTTCGCTCCTCTCTAGGGGCGACGAGCGAAGCAATGATTCTGTGAGCTACCTTAATCACAGGATGGATAAGTGATGAGGCTTTAGCAGCGCTAGAGACATATGGATGTAATTGGGTGAGCTGGGTCCACCAAGTCATGTCATAGTATCCTTGGATTGGATCAGTGGGGCCAAATGTGTTTTCCGTTGGGGCCCCCACAATGGCATTGATTTGATCCAAGGAGATCTCATAGTCTTGATTCATTAGACGGAAGTAGAGGATCCCATGATCTAAATAAACTGAGGATAGAAACTCAGCTGTTGGGACTTTATAGCTCAATTCATGGACCCTCAACAAGCCGTGCCACCCTATGTTGCGAAACAGGGTTTTGACTTGATTGTAAACATGCAACTCTTTCAAGTTGGAACATGCGCGAATTTTTGGATGGCATGACCTCGTTTAAGGAATGACTCAAGTTTGCCCTGTTGAACTGGGCCAAGACATACGACACCAAAATGAGACGGGTCGGCTGGGGGTGTTGGGGACCTAGATGGAGGTGAGGGAGATCTGGATGGAGGTGATGGAGATCTAGGCTTCCGACGGCGGGCGGATGATTTGGTTTGTCTTGGTCTTTTGGAAGATGTAGCTTCCATAGTCAAGTTTGGGACAGATTAAAAGTCAACGGGTCAAAATGTCAAAAAGTCAACTGTTGACGGGTCCAGTCAACTTTGAACTTGGCCACCAAAATTTCGCGGGAAATTTGGTTTTCAAAGATTTCCAACTAAGAATCAAGTCCAAATAGACCACACTTTCAAGTATTTGACTCAAGAACACAAAATTCAAAGGTTAGGAGTTGGAAAGAATTTACCGAATCGTGTGTTGGATCGTGTTGTTCTTGATGGAAAAGATCTTCTTTAACCTCCCCAAGCTTGCCCCTTTCAAGATTGAGACACTAAAACACCAAAATCAAGTGAGAATTTTCGGATCTAGGGTTTGTCAAAACCCCCAAATCCACCATTAAAATGCAAGAAAATGGTGTTTAAGATGGAGAAGATGAAGTGTAGATGATGAAAATCAAACCTTTTTGTAGATGAAAGTCAAAATCTTGAAGAAATTGAAAGGTATTTGATGAAAATCGGACCTAAGGTTTTTGTTGGGAGAGAGGGGTGTTAGGAAGTGAAAGTGGGGATAAATGAGGTCAAATCCCGATTTTTTTCTTTAAAAAGAGGAGTAACTGCTGCGCGACACGACCCGTGTCTCCAGGCAAATTGACACGCCCCTGTTGGGGGGTTTATGTTGCGTTATGTACGAACACGACCCGTGTTGGGTCAAGGCCAAAAACAACACGACCCGTGTTGCTCTCTGGAAGAATTTGGGACTTTTTTGGACGAACACGACCCGTGTTGGGTCAAGGCCAAAAACACGACCCGTGTTGCTCTCTGGAAGAATTTGGGACTTTTTTGCATGAACACGGCCCGTGTTTCATTAAGGCTAAGAGGGACACGACCCGTGTTGGTCCCTGGATGCTAATCCTCACTTTTTGAACTTGAAAATTTCCTCTCTTAGAAATGAAATACTTTTGCATTCCTAGGTCCGTTTGGTGATTTTAAATCATGATTGAATGCATTTGGAACATTGAAAACCAAAAACTCAAAGAAATGGAAATTGTTTTTAAGTAAAAGACAGAAATACCCCCGGGTTGCCTCCCGGTTAGCCGCCCTTGTTTCAAGTCGTTGGCTCGACTTTGCCCCTGCATATGCTTCATTCTAAGTAATTGGGCCTCTCCAACACATCAATCTTCTTGCCACCTCCTTCAACGGAACCTTCAACCTTCCTTTGGCTTTCTTTTTGCGCATAAACCAAAAAGGACTTAACCCTTTTATATCAGAGATTGTCCACTCAATCCTTTTTTGGTATTTGTTCAGCATGGTTATCAACTCACTCTCTTCCTTCTTCGATAATTTATTTGAGTTGATGACCGGTTGAGTGCTCTCCTTCTCGACATGTATTTGCTTTATAGGCCCAGTGGAGTTTTTGCTCTCGAATCTTGTGCTTGTTCCACCGGTGGAAGGAATTTGGCTTTAGTGGTGGGTGACTCTACTTCTCTTCCATCAATCCACACGTGCTTATCATCCTTGAATTTCAAAATCTCCAGCACCTCCTCGTTTGTACCGCACTCCTTTGCAAGTTCTTCGGCTTTGTACCTGTCTAATTTTTGTGACAAGACTAACTCCACAAAATCATTGTTAGTCGAGTTTAAGCTCTTTTCAGCCAATGGCTGGATCATATTCACAAAATTAACAGATTGAACATCAGAAGGAACCTTTTTTTCTTCATGAACATTGAAGTTGATAACTTCACCGTCAAATTCCATACTTAAAGTTCCATTGTAGACATCAATTTTTGTTTTAGAAGTTTTAAGAAAAGGTCTACCCAAAAGTATGGAACTTGAACTTGGAGAGTCATCATCTCCCATATCTAAGACATAAAAATCAGCCGGGAAGATAAATTCATCGACTTGCACTAACACATCCTCTAGTACACCCTTTGGGTGTACCAAAGACCGGTCGGCAAGTTGGATGATCACACCGGTTTTGCTCAATGTTCCTACACCAATTGATTTGAAGAGAGAATATGGTAGGACATTTACGGATGCACCTAGATCGAGCATGGCTCGAGGTACATGAAGATTCCCCAATTTGCAAGGTACGGTAAAGACACCGGGATCCTTACACTTCGGGGGCATCCTCTTTTGCAAAACCGCGGATACATGCTCCCCAACTGTTACCACTTGATTTCCTTTTAATTTCTTTTTAGATACGCAAAGATCCTTAAGGAACCTTGCATATCTAGGTACCTGCTTGATGGCCTCGAGGAGTGGAATGTTGATTTGAACTCTCTTGAACATTTGCATGATCTCACTCTCCTCCCGTTCTTTCTTCGTGCTCTTTTAATCTTTCTGGAAATGGAGCAGGTGTGGCTGTAGAATCAGTGATGAAGGGCTTCTTTTTGACTGTTTTCTCTTCCTTCTTCTCTTCTTTGGTTGCTTCTTCGACCACTATTTCTTCTTCCTTTTGATCAACTGGCACTTTTGGACCATCATAGCTCTTTTCGCCTCTCAATGTGATGGCACACACATTGTGCATTGGGTTTGTTTCAGTTTGTGCAGGTAACTTTCCTTGAGATTCCAATTTGCTTACAGAAGTGGCAAGTTGTGAAACTTGTTTCTCTAAGTTCGTTATGCTTGCTTTTGTCTCTTGTTGGAAAGCTTGTGTACTAGTTGCCAAACTCTTCACTATGTCCTCTAAGGACATACTTGATGAACCCGATTGTTGAGGAGGGTGTTGTGGCTGCCTTGGCTGGAAGTTTTGTGGTGGAAAAGGTGGTCTTTGCTGGTATTGATGTGGTTGACTTGGTTGATAATTTGCCTGTTGATGTCCTCCCCAACCTTGATTGTTACTCCATCTTTGATCACCCCGTGGCTGCTCATATCCCCTTTGATTAGACCCAAGAAAACCTCCCATGGCTTTTGCTTCTTCATAATCTTCCTCTTGGAAGTTGTGGGCACATATCGGTTGGATGGCCCACTTGGGTGCAAATACCGCATGGGCGGGGTGTGGGCTGCACACCTTTGTCTTTGGCCAACATCATGACTACTTTCGTGAGCTCGGACAATTGAGCTTCAATCTGAGGAGTTTGTACTTCTTTTACACCCCGGGGTGCATCCGTGTACCATTCTTCATCATGGCTTGAATGTTTGGAATCTTCAGCCATGTTCTTGATTAGATTTCGGATCTCAATTGGGGTTTTATCGGGCAAAGATCCACCACTAGAGGCGTTAAGAAGCCTTTTTTCCATTGGAGTCATTCCTTCAATGAAATATTGAAGGAGATGGTACTCAGTGATCCCGTGCTTTGGACAACGAGCACAAAATTTCTTGAATCTTTCCCAATATGTGTGGAAAGCTTCTCTTTTGTGTTGCTTGATTCCGATAATTTCCCGTCGTAGGGCTGAAGCTTTCATTTCGGGAAAATATTTGTCCAAAAACAATCTCGCAAGATCTACCCAAGTAGTTACCGTCCCCGGTGGAAGGTCATAAAGCCAATCTTTGGCTGCGTCTTGCACCGCAAAGGGGAATGCCCTAAGCTTGATTTGGTCCTCCGTGACATTGTGTGGTTTCATACCCACACATACTACATGGAACTCGGTGAGGAACTTGTGAGGATCTTCGTTCTCCAATCCTCTAAAAGTTGGGAGTAAATGGATAAGCCCGGATTTTAGTTCCAAGTTGGTGGCGGCTGGGTATGTGATGCAAAGAGGTTGTTGAGTCACCTCTTGTCTTGACCATTGACGAAGAGTTTGTTCGGGTGGTGGGTTTGGAGGACCTTGATTCCCTCCGGGTTATGTGCCATGGCTTGAGAATTGGTTGTGGTTTTTGAAGGTGAACTGTTTAGGATATTATTAATAGGTGAAGAGGGTGGAGTGGTTTTTATGGGTGAGGTTGTTTGTGGTGAGAGTGATGGGCTTTCTGTTTCTGATGCGGATACACTTGAGAGGGGTATGTCCTCCCAAATGTTGATGACCGGGGGATTGGTTGATGAAGAAGTACCGGAAACTGGTTGCCTCTTACGAAGCTTGGCTTGCTTCCTTAACTTCTTTGCAGTCTTCTCTATCTCCGAATCAATTGGCAATGGCGTACCTGTACGAAAAGATCTAGGCATAAACAATTAGTAACACCGTGTCCCCGGCAACGGCGCCAATTTTTTAGGCGTGTCAAACCCAACAAATAAAGGGGTACGATATACTCCAAAATAATCCCACTATATTGCACTAAAAGGTAGTACAAGGCAAGCAGGGTCGATCCACAGAGACACAGGACAATTGGTCTATACCTATTTGCACAAGGTACTATGTCACCAATAGTAAAGAGAGGGGGGTTTAGAATGTAATGATTAAACAAATAATTAAAAACATAAGCAATCAATTAAATGCGTGAATTAAATTCAGAATTTGTGAGGACTCCAACCCCATGTATGACAATTTAGCAATGTGACTCCAAGATGACACAATATTCGTTCAATTCTATTAAGTTGGTACTTGAAAGTGCTAATAAGCTCTAACACTTCCCATTCACCATATTAATTAACCAAAACAAGCTCTTTGATTAACCCTAACCTTATTAACCTAATCTAAACAAGCTCTTAGGATTAGATTATAAGATTGCATGAAGCTTTATGTGAATGTTCCCAACAACACCCAATACCCCTCATAAGCTCGGGAGTGTAAAAGTGTATGAATAAGATTTACACTAAATTCATTCAATAGAGATTAATTTAATGCTTGTTACTTGTTCAATTTCACAAAACAATTACGGATTTTGTAAAAGAGATAACTTGAATGACCTAACCCTAATTCAAATGGCCAATAAGAATCATAATTAGAATCAAACATTCGATTGAAGCAAAATCAAATTCATTAAATAGAAATTAAGAACAAATATCATGTCATATGAATGAAGTCACTACCAAGAAGTCAAAACATGAAATTGGAGAAATTAGGGTTCTAGCCACACATGGCTAGAACAAGATCACAAGTCTAAAAGATGAAATTAAGTGTAATTACAACTTACAAAAACAAGAATTAATGTTTCCAAATGGTTAACGGACAAACCCTTGCAAAAAGCTTCGAATTCCCTTCTCCAATGGTGCTCTGGTATGTTCCTCTTATGTCCAAATGACCCTCAACCCGTAATATGAAAGATAGGAAAAACTGCCAAAAGTTGGTTTTTGGGTCGAACACGGCCCGTGTTAAAATAGGCTAAACTGACACGGGTCGTGTTCAGCAACACGCCCCGTGTTTATTTGCACTAAACTGACACGGGTCGTGTTCAGCATGGTCAACAGCTCCCATTTTGGTCAAACACGTCCCGTTTTTCAGTGTAAATTCAACACGCCCCGTGTACCTCTCTGACTCCAAATCCAAACTTGATTTTTCCAACTTTTTCGTTCTTCGCCGATCATCCCACCAATGCTTCCCGACACTTCCCAAAGCGCGTTCCAACCTCCGGTTTACCTGAAAAAGATATAAAAGTGTGCAAATAAGGTTGTTCTAGAGACTAAAATGAATATGATAAAATGCAAGGAAAAGGAAGAACAATTGTGCTAATTATATGCATAAAATGGGACTGAAAGGTGTGCAAAAAGGTGCACAAGTAGCACCTAACAAATCTCCCCAAGCTTAGACCTTTCTTGTCCTCAAGAAAGAACAAGAACCGGACAACAGGACGATTTCTAGATGGCAGAAAGAAAAACTTAGAACGAAAAGGGGATGAAGGATCCTAAAGGTTAAGAATGAATGCATGCAATGTAATGCCATGAAAATATGTACAAAATGCACCTGAGCAAAATGAAGCAAGAGAAAAGAAGATTAAGAACAAACACAAAATATGTACTTTTGTAACTAAATAAAGGTACGATCAGACTTTACATCAATAGGGCTTCGATCATTGATACCTTGGCAACCATCCTGTTTCCTTCCACATATCACAGACTCTCAATGTGAGGAAGACCCGAAACGGTGTAACCCAATAATCCAACCAAAGTTTTATTTAATCTTTATATCTTACTAAGCTTTATGGGCGAAAATAACATAGTCCGGATTTCATGTCCTTAAGACTAGATGGCCAAGAATCATAATCGACGCCTCCTTAAGAACCCGTCACAGCGAATCAGCTTTCGCTGAAACAATGAGCCCACCCGAAGGGGCTCAGCTCCTATGCTTTCACTTTTTCGAGAGCCACAAGTATCATATCACACAGTTCTTCATTCGCCATATTTGACTTGAGTTGGCTTTTGATTTGATTGAGCTTTGATTTGTACTTCGTTTTGAATTTGGATTCTTCAATCTTCATCTTTGGGATTTCTTTGGAATTTCTTTAGATTTCTTTGTTTTGGCATTTGAAATTCTGATTAGGGTACTGGATATGACAGTTGTACCCTTCCTTCATTCTTGACTGTGTGGGTCTGATACATAAGCTCTCTGTTACCGCGGGGGTAACGCGTGTCAACAAATAGGTCCGTGTTCTGTGGGTTCAGAGTTGCCGATAAAGATTCTTTTTAAACATTCAAAAGCAAATCATCCTAAAGCTGTTATTACCGCCCAAAAAACGTTTCAATATAATTTTTTTATTATTTGAGGGTAGGGTCTCGACGTACGGTATTTGGGTCCCCTAGTTATGACAGCTGATTCTATGCTTCCGGTAACAATCCAGTTGCTTCGGTATTTTTCATTTCATGGAGCAATTGTATGTAAAGAGTGTCATCATCTCGTACACTTTTTTTTTTGAATGAAATTTGAAAATAAGAAATTTTGAAAATAAGAAAATGCATGCATGAGAATGAATGAACCTAAAATACAAGTCTACCCCTCCCCAAGCTTAAAGATAAGCATCGTGCCCAATGCTTGGAGAGGGTGGAACAACCTAAAACGGAGGAGGATAGTAGTTGGGGTTTCGGGTCCAAGCCCAGAAGTCCTCCTCATGTTTGCGTTGACGCTCTTGATCCCGAGCATACTGGGTGGTGAAGGTGGAAAAATTCTTGGTCAGGCTGGTAATATCCTGCTGATAGGTGTCGAGGCGGGTATGGATTGATTGGAATTCGTCCATATATTGTTGATGATAAGGCGGGGGTGCAGCAAAATGGGATGAGCTGCCACCATCGGTGGGAGAAGCATGGTGAGGCTCCTCCTTTTCTTCATCATCATCACCATCTTCCTCGTTTTCTTCGCTTTGCTCATCGACCTCGGTGGAATAAGAGTGGGGGAAGATGTATGGAATGATTTACCAATCAGTCATATGAATGGGATTTCGGAAATCAAGAATGCCTTTATTTTCTGGTGTGATGAGGAGCTTGGGATCATGATTTTGACCCACGGTCCAATGGTGTGTACCATCGCCTGCCGAGCGGAAGAGTCGCATGGACTCAAGGACAGTGGTGGTGAGATAAGGCTCACCCGGCAGTGGCTGGTGGGGTCCGGGGTATGGGGCTCGGATGTGGGCGCTCTTGGCGAGCATGCTGACAATACCCCCGCAAACAATCTTTCCCGATCGGGATGCACTAAGGCGGATGAGCTTGTGGCACAGAAACCGACCATAATGAGGAATGAGGTTATTCTCGGGATGGGTCATTGCATAAAGGATTTTAAGTTCCAGCGCGGTAATGGTGCTTCGCTCCTCTCTAGGGGCGACGAGCGAAGCAATGATTCTGTGAGCTACCTTAATCACAGGATGGATAAGTGATCAGGCTTTAGCAGCGCTAGAGATATATGAATGTAATTGGGTGAGATGGGTCCACCAAGTCATGTCATAGTATCCTTGGATTGGATCAGTGGGGCCAAATGTGTTTTCCGTTGGGGCCCCCACAATGACATTGATTTGATCCAAGGAGATATCATAGTCTTGATTCATTAGACGGAAGTAGAGGATCCCATGATCTAAATAAACTGAGGATAGAAACTCAGCTGTTGGGACTTTATAGCTCAATTCATGGACCCTCAACAAGCCGTGCCACCCTATGTTGCGAAACAGGGTTTTGACTTGATTGTAAACATGCAACTCTTTCAAAGTTGGAACATGCGCGAATTTTTGGATGGCATGACCTCGTTTAAGGAATGACTCGAGTTTCCCTGTTGAACTGGGCCAAGACATACGGCACCAAAATGAGACGGGTCGGCTGGGGGTGTTGGGGACCTAGATGGAGGTGAGGGAGATCTGGATGGAGGTGATGGAGATCTAGGCTTCCGACGGCGGGCGGATGATTTGGTTTGTCTTGGTCTTTTGGAAGATGTAGCTTCCATAGTCAAGTTTGGGACAGATTAAAAGTCAACGGGTCAAAATGTCAAAAAGTCAACTGTTGACGGGTCCAGTCAACTTTGAACTTGGCCACCAAAATTTCGCGGGAAATTTGGTTCTCAAAGATTTCAAACTAAGAATCAAGTCCAAAAAGAGCACACTTTCAAGTATTTGACTCAAGAACACAAAATTCAAAGGTTAGGAGTTGGAAAGAATTTACCGAATCGTGTGTTGGATCGTGTTGTTCTTGATGGAAAAGATCTTCTTTAACCTCCCCAAGCTTGCCCCTTTCAAGATTGAGACACTAAAACACCAAAATCAAGTGAGAATTTTCGGAACTAGGGTTTGTCAAAACCCCCAAATCCACCATTAAAATGCAAGAAAATGGTGTTTAAGATGGAGAAGATGAAGTGTAGATGGTGAAAATCAAACCTTTTTGTAGATGAAAGTCAAAATCTTGAAGAAATTGAAAGGTATTTGATGAAAATCGGACCTAAGGTTTTTGTTGGGAGAGAGGGGTTGTTAGGAAGTGAAAGTGGGGATAAATGAGGTCAAATCCCGCTTTTTTTCTTTAAAAAGAGGAGTAACTGCTGCGCGGACACGACCCGTGTCTCAGCAGGCAAAATTGACACGCCCCTTGTTGGAGGGTTTATGTTGCGTTATGGACGAACACGACCCGTGTTGGGTCAAGGCCAAAAACAACACGACCCGTGTTGCTCTCTGGAAGAATTTGGGACTTTTTTGGACGAACACGACCCGTGTTGGGTCAAGGCCAAAAACAACACGACCCGTGTTGCTCTCTGGAAGAATTTGGGACTTTTTTGGACGAACACGACCCGTGTTGGGTCAAGGCCAAAAACAACACGACCCGTGTTGCTCTCTGGAAGAATTTGGGACTTTTTTTGCATGAACACGACCCGTGTTTCATTAAGGCTAAAAGGGACACGACCTGTGTTGGTCCCTGAATGCTAATCCTCACTTTTTGAACTTGAAAATTTTCCTCTCTTAGAAATGAAATACTTTTGCATTCCTAGGTCCGTTTGGTGATTTTAAATCATGATTGAATGCATTTGGAACATTGAAAACCAAAAACTCAAAGAAATGGAAATTGTTTTTAAGTAAAAGACAGAAATACCCCCGGGTTGCCTCCCGGTTAGCCGCCCTTGTTTCAAGTCGTTGGCTCGACTTTGCCCCTGCATATGCTTCATTCTAAGTAACTGGGCCTCTCCAACACATCAATCTTCTTGCCACCTCCTTCAACGGAACCTTCAACCTTCCTTTGGCTTTCTTTTTGCGCATAAACCAAAAAGGACTTAACCCTTTTATATCAGAGATTGTCCACTCAATCCTTTTTTGGTATTTGTTCAGCATGGTTATCAACTCACTCTCTTCCTTCTTCGATAATTTATTTGAGTTGATGACCGGTTGAGTGCTCTCCTTCTCGACATGTATTTGCTTTATAGTGCCCAGTGGAGTTTTTGCTCTCGAATCTTGTGCTTGTTCCACCGGTGGAAGGAATTTGGCTTTAGTGGTGGGTGACTCTACTTCTCTTCCATCAATCCACACGTGCTTATCATCCTTGAATTTCAAAATCTCCAGCACCTCCTCGTTTGTACCTCACTCCTTTGCAAGTTCTTCGGCTTTGTACCTGTCTAATTTTTGTGACAAGACTAACTCCACAAAATCATTGTTAGTCGAGTTTAAGCTCTTTTCAGCCAATGGCTGGATCATATTCACAAAATTAACAGATTGAACATCAGAAGGAACCTTTTTTTTCTTCATGAACATTGAATTATAATCACCGTCAAATTCCATACTTTAAAGTTCCATTGTAGACATCAATTTTTGTTTTAGAAGTTTAAGAAAAGGTCTACCCAAAAGTATGGAACTTGAACTTGGAGAGTCATCATCTCCCATATCTAAGACATAAAAATCAGCCGGGAAGATAAATTCATCGACTTGCACTAACACATCCTCTAGTACACCCTTTGGGTGTACCAAAGACCGGTCGGCAAGTTGGATGATCACACCGGTTTTGCTCAATGTTCCTACACCAATTGATTTGAAGAGAGAATATGGTAGGACATTTACGGATGCACCTAGATCGAGCATGGCTCGAGGTACATGAAGATTCCCCAATTTGCAGGTACGGTAAAGACACCG